CTGGGATAACCGGTCACCTAGGCCAAACTTCCGAGGGAAGCCCAATCAGCCCAAGGTTAACCTAAACCTAGATTGACACGTTTCCCGAGGTTATAAATACCTCCCTTAATCCTCATTAAGGGAGATTACGCTAAAAACGCAGATTACACACATTAAACACTCTCACCTAGAGAGACCCAATCACTTTAATTTCCGCATTAATTACTCCTTAATCAAGTACTAACTTGACCGTCGGAGGCGGATCTCCAATCATCCGGAGCATCCGTTTGTTTTGAAGGTACAGGCGTCCGATTCCAGTCTCGGAATTGTAACTCTCCCGCAGGACATCAGAAAACCCCGAAACACTAGGCATGATACTAACAAGATTAATAACAAACCCTAGCATGTCACTAAGCGATAAAAATCAAATCTTTAACCCTAACATGATACTAACATGAATAAATATTAGGAAGAAAATAGGAAGCATCACAACAATCATATTTAACATTAAAATTAACCTAGACATGATACTAGGAATCATAATAACAATGTAAACATGATATCTACATCATAAACATTAATTAAAGTACTTACTTGGATGCCTCGTACCTCTTTCTAATAACAAAATACACGCGTTAGTAACTTCAAGGAAAAATAATAATCAAAACAATTAAATTAAATAATTGAAATAGAGATTTGGGACCAAACCCTCAGAAATTAAAACCTTTCACGCCTAGGGCGAAGGCAACTTCGAATATGGCTAGGTGTATCTAGACCTTGCGAATGCGGAATTTTGTATTAAAAAGCAAGAAAGAATTGAATGCTAAAGAATTAATGTTTATTGAGAATTGATGAAGGATGAATGAAAACTTGTGAATGAAGAGAGTTGATTAAAACTAATTGTTGATGAGAATTCGTGAATGATGATTGTAGATGAATGAAAACGGAGTTTTTAATACGATATTTATAGAGAAAATCAGCCAAAAAAGATAATTTAACAAAACAGAGTCTGGAGATCACAAAACAGGATTGGCGCCAACCCTGGCTAACTGGCGCCAGGCACCAGTGGCTAGCGCCAGGCGCTAATGGCTAGCGTCTGGCGCCAAGCTTGGTTCCAGGCGCCAAGGCCTGAGGTTGGACGCCAGTCTTAATTCCAACGCGTTTTCGAAAATCTGATAAATTTACCGTAGTGGAAGATAAAATAATATAATTTCTTCGAAAATGCTATTTGATCTTAATTAAAACTCTGAAAAGTCCTAATTGAATTAGGAATGAAAAGAACCTTCTAGAAGATTCTAGAAGACCAAAACCATTCCTAATTGCATTAGGAATGATAAATCATATTAGGCCCTCCCCTAGATCATTGGGCCGTACATAAAGCTCAAACCGGGCCCAGTTTAGTAAATTGACCATAACTTCCTCAATATTCATCGGAATTGGGCTTATAATATATCGTTGGAAAGGTCTTTGCAAGCCCCATCCAACTACACCACTATTGGACCCATATCATGTACCAACCAAACTGGATTAGCTGTTTTCTTAAAATAAAGTTTTCCAAAACAAGGAGAAGAGAAAAGAAATAAAACTTTCTTCAACACTAGACCTTTCCACACTTTCGTTTCATTCGATTATGATTCGACGTGAAAGGTACTCATCACCCGGTTTGGTTTTGGGGAGACACAAATGGGTGTCTACATTAGCAGAAGTACAAACACAATAAAAATATTCACATAATATATATGAAAATGAAAATAATGGCATATATCATCAAACAGTTGTTTGATGATTTCTTTTTTGTTGCAATATGCTTCACCCTAATAGAATGAATGTAAAGTTCAAAAAATGAATATATAAATTACATAAAGTGAACATATGCATATAGAAAGTGAAAATAAGTTGTATTGAATTTATAGGCTCATGTTTATATGCATTACTTGTATACAAAATCTGAACATATCAATCAATGAACATACCAAAATATGAACATGAATATACGCATGATTATATCCATTAAAAATATGAATGTATGTATACAAAATATGAACATGAATATACGCATGAACATGAATATACAAAATATGAACATACCAATCAATGAACATACCAATCAATGAACATGAACATAACCATTCAAATAATGAATATACGCATAAAAAATAATGAATATACGCATAAAAATAATGAATTTAATAAAAATATGAACATAGTTTATATGAAAATGAAAATAATGGCATATACCAGAAGAAAAGGCAGAGGTCCTTTGTAAAACCCTTTTGGATTCAATTTCCAAGAACTGCTTGTATCCATTAAGCTATCAAGGACATACTTGCACCAATTGTATTCCTTGATTTCAAACACATTCTTAATTGAGAACAGAAACTTGTAGTGCAAGTGTACGCTTTGGCTGCTTTTCATGAAGCAATTTACAGCGAACACAATGAAATCAATAATGAAGATTTCATCAACTTCACCATTGTTCAATTTTGCAGGTTTTGTTCCAGTTTCTTTTTGTTCATCTTTTCTTTGATTATTTCCATCTTTTTCTCTTTTTCTTCCCCAGACTCATATTTCTTCAGAACATTGTGTGTTTTAGGGCTGCCAGACACAACACCCCAATATTTCCCCCATCTAGTCAAAGGAGTCTCTTCTTGTTCCTCATCTTCTACCTCCTTCACTTCTTTCTCCCCTCTCGGGATTCCATACACAACTTCAACATCTTCTTCACAAACAACAATAGATTTGTTGTACGGAAGATAAAGTGTGCGGCTATTCTCTTCGAAACAATGCATAAGCCAAGCAGAAAATGATTGGTCATTTTGTGGAAGATTTACATCGAGTAAAGCTCCAAATCCCATGTCAATAATTGCTTGCTTTTGAGAAGGGCTCAAATTTGATGCAAATGTCATGAATTTGAAATGCCCAACCCTCACTTGCAACTTACCATAATCATCTAAATCTTCAGCATCATCAAGATTCACCACCTCATGTACATCTTCATTTGCATCTCTCTTTCTTGTTTTAGGTGCTTTCTCATTTTTTACACCATCAACTTTCTCACTTTGTTTCCCCTTCACCACCTTAACTTTGTTAGTTTTAAGAGTTTCTTTTTCTTTCACACCTCCATCTTTCTCATTGATTTTTTTGTGTCTTTGATTTTTGCTTATTCTGTTGATCTTTAGCTTGTGTACTCTTGCTTTAGGAGGCTTCCAAAGAGTTGTTTGATGATTTCTTTTTTGTTGCAATATGCTTCACCCTAATAGAATAAATGTAAAGTTAAAAAAATGAATATATAAATTACATAAAGTGAACATATGTGTAGACACCCAAATGTGTCTCCCCAAAACCAAACCCGGTGATGAATATCTTTCATTTCATTTGATTATCGAACAAAGCGAAAGTGTGAAATGTCTAGTGATGCGGATGTTTTTATTAAAATATCTCTTCTTTCTGTTTTTGAAAATATTTCTTTTCTTACCTTATTTATAAAAAAACGTGCATTCTAGTTTAGTTTGGTCCATGATAAGGGTCCAATAATGGTTTAGTTGGATGGGGCTTGAAAAGAACTTTCCAACGATACATTATAAGCCAACTCCGATGAATAATGAGGAAGTTATGGCCAAAATACTAAACTGGGCTCGAACCGGATCTTACCTACAGTCCAATGATCATGTGGAGGGTCCAAAGATCTAATCCTATTCCTAAACTAATTAGGATTAATTAGAAGCTTCTATAAGTTTCTAAAAGATCTTAATTATCTTTTTTGAAAAGATAAAACAAAAAATTTGAGTTAAATAAAAACTTTCCTTTTTTAAAACTTTCCTTTTCTTTAATCCTAATTCTATTCGAATTTAAAGATGTTCAAAGATAGTCAGATTTTATTTTTGTGCCTCATAATATTTATCCAAATTTTATATGGTTGGATAGATCTTGAAATTATCTTTCCAATGATATATTTCTTTAATCCTAATTCTATTTCTTGAATCCTCTCTCTTTCTAAGCCAAGCCTTTTACAAACACAATTCTTCATACATTAGCACTAGACACACCTAGCCAAGTTCGAAGTTGCCTTCGCCCTAGACGTGAAAGGTTTGATATTTCTGAGGGTTTGTTCCCAAATCTCTTTTTCAATTATTATTTAATTTAATTGTTTGTTTTATTATTTTGCTTGAAGTTACTAACGTGTGTATTTTGTTATTAGAAAAAGATACGAAGCATCCAAGTAAGTGCTTTAATTGATTTATCGATATTATGATATAGAAATCATGTCTAGGGTGTTTTGATCTTCCTAGTATTATGTTTAGGGTAATTTATAATATCAAATATGACAATTGTGTTTCCTGCGATGTTTCCTATTCTTTTCCTAATATTCATGTTAGTATCATGTTAGGGTTAAAGCTTTGATTTTTAATGTTTAGTGACATGCTAGGGTTTGTTATTAATCTTGTTAGTATCATGCCTAGGATCTTGCTATTATTATGCTTTATTATTAACATGATTATTTTTATGATTATAATTGTTATAATAATTGTTATGATTATTTATTATGTTGCTTGATGTTTTTTATTGTTATTGCTTGATCACACCTTTTATGGATGTTTAAAGGGAATTTGGTACTTGTAATCACTCTTAATAAGATAATTAATAATCTTGCTAGGGTTAATATGATTATAATTCAAGTGATCACCAATAATAGATTTATTTGTGCATTAATATTCAACCAACATAGTTAAACAGGTTTAGGGTTAACCTATTGATTGCATGTTAGTCAGAAAGCGCACATAATTGCGATCAGAATAAAGTAGTGGTCTATTATTAGGGCAGGTTCAATCTCTTTTAGGTTGGATTTGTACCTTCATCCCCGAACTACCAGTCATGGTTCCAGACCTATTAGAGTTGACGATCTCTTGGATCGTTAAGGGGTGTTACCTTCACCTCGTGAACGGTTTACAAGTTCCTAAAACTTGTTGGCGACTCTTTTGCTCTAGCTTCCTTCCCTTTGGACGCCATCGTACTTTAGTGTATGATCACAGTGGGGTTCAAGCTTGGGGTAATGCTTGAAATATTCCCTACAATATGCATATAGAAAGTGAAAATAAGTTGTATTGAAATTATAGGCTCATGTTTATATGCATTACTTGTAAGGTGAACGTATGAACATATACTATTTCAAATGTGAACATAAACATTCAAAATATGAACATACCAATCAATGAACATGAACATAACCATTCAAAAAATGAATATAAGTATACGAATAATGAATATACGCATATAAATAATGAATATAAGCATTGCTTCTTTCGGATGATGCCTTTTAAAATGTGAACATGCAACATGCTGTGAATATAGTGTTCTCAAACATGAACATGAAACATGTTGTGAATAAGTTGCTACCCTTTCTCCCGCTCTTTTATCCTACACCCCACAACTCCTAATCCCACACCACTCCAATAACTCACCAACACTCCCATGTTCTATACTTCAACAAATGAATTTATGTATAAAAATAATGAATATACGCCTAAAAATAATGAATATCCCTTTAACATAGCTGAATATGAATTTATGCATTGTTTGTTTAAGATTATGAATTTTAAAATGTGAAGTTAAGAATGTAAACATGAATATATATATTTACAATGTGAACATAAGCATTTCATACCTTTTTTTTGGTAACTCTGTTGCTTTTGATTGAACCTTTTGTTCTTCTTTAGAAGGTTTTTCTGGTTGTTTTTCCCCTTCTTTTCTTGCATCTTTTGATCGTCTTGTGGTTGTTTTTCCCCTTCTTTTGGTGGTTCGACTTCATTGTTAACTCTGAATAAAAAGTTGTGTAAAACAGTGAGCTTTATAAGTAACTTCATTTCTTTAAATCTATCAAATTCATTTGATGAAGGGTCGACATGCATTTGAATCTTAACCTACCAGTCTTTGTGGAGAGGTTATACATAATTTCTAGTAAAAATATAAAACAAGGAGTGATCACATAACTACTAAAACATGAAATAACAAAATCTAGTCTCATAGAAATTATCTTTTACATTAAGACTATGCACCTGGACAAAGGTCAACATTAACAGCTGGTTAAATGGTTAAATGATTACACTATGCACCCGGACAAAGGTCAACATTAACAAGCGCCACTAATAAATTGCTTTGCAGAGCTTCAAATCACAAAGACTTGACCAACAATAAGGTTCAACGAAATTCAGTATAAGGAAATAAAATCAATAATGTGCGAGTATAACCATGAAAATTAAGACTGGAAGTGCAGTTACTCAAATGTTCCAGAAATGACTCACTGTGTTTAACAAACCAAAACTAGTACCATATATCAAAATTTCATTCACTGGAAGAGCAAACTTTTTTGTTTCGATCCCATCCACTCCATTCAAGGTGGCATCTGGTCACTCATTTTCTTTACTCTACTAGTATGCTACCATTGTGTTTAAAATTTTCTGTCACTTGTTCTCTTCTATTGCACTAAAAAGATGTGTAATCTTGCAAATAAAATGCTTCATCCTACGATACTTATATACTGAAGCATATTGTCCTAGATTGACGCAGTTAGTAATACTAAACGATTATGTTGTTGTACTTTTTTTTGTATCAGTTGTTTCTCAGTCTGTCTCAATCATGTAAGTTAATATACAAAATTCACTAAAATTCGTACAAAATTCACTAAAATATACAAATATTGTTTTGATTTTTGATTTCCGTACAAAATTTCGGACATAATTCACTAAAGTTCACCAAAAAATATAAACACTTGCACTAAATTTCGGACAAAATTCACTAAAAAATACAAACATTTGCACTGAATTTCGAACAAATTTCGAACAAAATTCACCAAACAACAACAAACATGAAAATTTGGATCAAAACATGAAAATTCACTAAAACAAAAAAAATGAATATACCTTTTGTTTTGATCGATTTTCCTCTTCTTCAACAACTTATTTCGAAATCTCATTGAGTAATTTTGGATCTACAGTAGGACTCTTTGCAACTTTCTTCTTTTTGGTGCCAAACACTTTATTTAGCGGCCTATTCAAGAAAATTAGGGTTTCTATCAACAATTTATATTAATAATTACAATTTAACACCACAATGAAATTGTAATTTATAGAAATAGCAATCAAAAAATAAACATCTAAACTTACATATCTTCTTGATTTCCGGTATTTTTTATTTTTCTACAAAAACAAGTGAAGTACATGCGTTAGTTTATGAATTCACCAGCAAACAACAATTATCTAAACAATTTTTTTCAAAGAAAATAGAAAAAAATGTAACAAACTAATCTAAACAATTTTTCATATAATCTAACACCAATTTCAGAGTTTCGAAAAGTAGAATTTCGAAAAACAGAGTTTCGAATGCTTCAGATGAAAATTCACTACAAAAATGAAAAATTTCGGACAAAATTCAGTGCAAATGTACCTCTTCTTGGGACGATCCTTCTGATTTTGCATTTCATCTCTAATGTCCATTGTGATTTTTCCAGATTTTTAGTGAGAGAAAATGAACTAGAGGAGAGAGAAAATAAGAGAGTAGAAGAAGGTTTTGAATTGAAGTGACGTTACTTCAATGTGGGTGGGGGTATTGAATTTTCCGTGTTTTAGGGTTTTTTTTAAATTGGGCTTTGATGAGTCTATTTTATATATATATTTATTCCCCATCCCACGGTCATATTTGTGTTTATTTGAGCTATCAGAGCTATTTTTATTACTAATATATGTTTTCTAGTGTTTTTTTGTAGAGTTGGTATTATTTTGTAGAAATTTGCATATTTATGATATTTCCGGAGCTTATTAAACCACTACAAAGATATTGGAGTTTGATTATATCTTATGACCGCATATTTGATGCCCAAGGCCAATTTGGTGATTAAGGGCTCGATTGGTGAAGAAGTCCAAGTAATAAACAAGCTAGTACCACGGATCAAACAAGTTAAGGATTTTGGGCCCAAAGCAAAAGAAGTCCAATCTCAAAGAAAATCAGAGCTGCTGGGCGGATTTATTGACCGGGCCCGGTCGGGCGATAGCTGGCCCGATCAGGCGAGCTTGATGGGAGCTGTTGGGCTTCATCATAGTGGGCTTATTATTTGGCCCACTTGATTTTGTTATGTCGGTGAAGTAGTTTATAAATAGGAGTACGTAGCTTCAGGAGGTAGTTTTTACTATTTTTTATTTTTCCTTTTTCATTTTCTTTAGTTTAGTTTAGTTTTCTCTTATATTATTTCTTTAGTTTTAATTTCTTGTTCTAGATATACTTCAACTCTTCTTAATTAGTTTTATTGTTATTCTATTCTCTTGTTAATTTAATACTATTGCTTTTTATCATGCTTAATATTATTGCTTTGATTAGTTTAGTTTTTATTATGTGCGACTAGTTTTATTTCTAGGGTTGTGGAGATCCATAAATAATATGAAGGGGTAATTTATTGTTGTTGATTGTCAATGCTGGATTAATTTCCTATTGATTGATTTAATGCTCTATGACTAGATTAGGCCTAATCTTTTATGCATGAGTTTGACAATATTGATTCGAGATTCGACAAATGAGAATTAATGTTTAGGTCTAATTTCAATAGGTAGGTTAATTTATAAATGGTTAAGTCGAGATTCGAAAGATGAGATTTAATACCGGTAAATTAATTGTGTGATTGTAATACGTAGCGAAAGCCCTTTATGATCTGATTAATTATGCTTTGATGAATGATTATTATATTCAATCCTGGAATATTATTTATTGGTGAACCTATGCCCTAGATCCTTTTATATATTATTTTCTCCTTGTTCTTGATCTCCGTAGTTTAGTTTATTGTTCAAATATATATATTGGTTACTTCATAATCTAGATTATATTAGTTAATTAGAAGTAGAAAGACTCGTTTCTTTGTGGATTCGACCCTACTTCCCTATCTACATTAGTTAGAGGATTTAGGATTTACTTTTGATTAGGGGATACGACTTTACCCTGTCAGGCGTGTGTAAGTGGGCTTTGGACCGCTGTTACACCTATTTTAGGTGCACAAGGGTGTACCTTTGACCAATTGGGGTAGTGCTATCAAAACGTTTTCAAACTTGTGGGTAGTCTTAAACAAATAAAAAAAATGGGTATTTGCTCACAATGACCCTATCTTTAGGGTAGTTGTACACAAAATTTCCTAAATTAATTATGGTTAAGCGGTGAGGCTATTTTATTTGTTTTTCTTCAAAAGTAATTAAATTGCAAATTTTCTTTTCAAGAGTACAATTGCACTTCAATCAAGCCAAGCATATGTACCAAGTCATTCAAGTTATGGATCAAACAAAATCATTAAGCACAACAAATTTCATTGTATAGTAGAGTAGTAGACTAACAAGATTGTTCTAATTTCATTAAAATGCAAGGTATGTAAGTAAACCGTTTTCTTAGGCCCCGTTTGGTTTAATGTAAAACATTTTCAATGGAAAATTAGTTTTCATGGAAAACATATTTTCAAGGAAAAACACAATTGCAAATTAGTTTTCCTTTGTTTGGTTGCATACAAGAAAAGTCCAAGAAAATAAAAAATAAGAGTGGAAATGTAAGGATGAGTGAGAGGGAAGTAAAAAAAGAGGTAAGGAGGAGAGAGGAAAATGTGGCTTCCCTTGTTTTTGGAAGGAAAATGTTTTCCATCATTAAGGATGGAATTTTTCACCCTTGAAAAATTGTTTTCCACTCCTTAACAAACCAAACAAAGGAAAATGGATATAAAATGGAAAATTCATTTTCCATGAAAACCTTTTACATCAAACCAAACAGGGCCTTAATTCAATTATACAACATCAAATTAATGTCCTAAAAAAAAAGTTGAAAATTGAATATTCTTTAACTTCATCTTCGGCTTCACCCATTCATACTCCATTGTGGAAGACACAATTTTTTCTGAAGCGTAGGCTGAAAATTTGATTATTAGAGAGCAAGAAAAAAGGAATTTGGGAAAAAAAAAAAAACAAACGAAATTAGAGATGATATATTTGGATGCCGGATGCTACTGTTTTTATTTTGGAATTTTGGATTATGGTTTGCAATTTTAATTTTAGGAAGAAAATTGGAACATAAAAGGCTATCTGTTTTTTGAAGTTGGTGTTTTTTGTTTTTATTTATTTATTTATTTTTAAGAGTTTTGCAGTTGATGTTAATGATCTTATTTTGGTTTGGAATTATTGATCTTATTTTGAGTTTGTAAGTTTTTCAGATGGGGCGAATTGCCTGATAATTAAAGGCATGTTCACTTTTCAATTCAATTCAGTTCAGTTCAATTGAGTTAAGCTCCTAATTTCCTTCTCTCATAAAATATTCATTCAGCTCTATTCAGTTCAGTTCATATCCAATCAGTTCAGTTCAGTTCATATCCAATCAGTTCAGTTCAATTCAGCTCCAATCAGTTCAGTTCATTTCAGTTCACTTCAGCTCAGTTCAGTAAATATGAACAAACCCTAATCCTAAGTCCCAAATGGTAAAAGAAAAAAGTTCAGGTCTCAAAAGGTGAAAAAGTAAAAAAGTTTAGTCCCTAATTGTTAGTTTAACTTAAATAACTTACAAAAATTCTCTTTTGCAAAAAACTAGATGATACCCGTACGATGCACGATTTGTTTGAATTGTTTTTAAGAAAAATTTAACACATATAATATATATTGTTAAAATTTAACAAAAAGGGGAGTTTTAACCTAAGTTTTTAGAGAGCCACATAGAATCTAATTTTCTTAGTATGTCATGTAGGATTATAAATTTTAGTAGTAGCTAATTAAATAAGAGATTGTTAAAATCTTTTACAATTAAATAATTCAAATGCCACGTAAGCAAAATTGGCGAATGAGATTTTAAAATTTAAATTATAATTAAATGATTCAAATGTCACGTAAGCAAAATTGGCGAATGTCATTTTTAAATTTAAATTAGTAAAATATAAAATATTATTTTTTGATATTAGGAATTTCATCTAAATGTATAACCAATTTTAGCACATTAATTAAAAAAATTATTTTAAAAAATTCAAATAAATCGTGGATTGCACGAGCTTCATCTATGTTTTTAGTATTTATGTGCTAAAATTCGTTACATATTTTAAATAAAAAGTTTTAATATCAAAATATATATTTAATTAATTTAAACTTAAAAATCTTATTCGTCAATTTTGCTTACATGACATTTGAATTATTCAATTCTATAAAGATATTAATAATCTCTTATTTAATTGGGTACAACTGAAATTTATAATCTTACCTGGCGCATTAAGAAAATAAAATCTAATGTGCCTCTACAAACTCGGGAAAAAACTCCCCTTTATATAAAAGTTTGTTTGAATTATTTAAGATTTTTTTTTTGTATTTATGTGCTAAAATTTGCTACATGTTTAGATAAAATTTCTAATTTAAAAAATAATATTTTATATTTAATTAATTTAAAATTAGAAATCTTATTCACCAATTTTGCTTACGTGGCATTTAAATTATTTTTTTGACACAACATTTAAATTATTTAATTCTAAAATAAAGTAATAGTCTCTTTTTTAATTGATTACAACTTAAATTTCTAATTTTACATAGTGCATTAAGAAAGTTAAAGTCTACGTGGCTCTCTATAAACCCTGGAAAAAAACTCTCCTTTTGATAATTTTTTGGCTTGAATGTTAAATACGGTCATATAATCTATTTAAATAATAATTGTACTTTTTATAATTTTATTTGTAAATAGATATGTATATAATTATAAACTGAAATTATTTTTATTAAACTTAGATTATTTTTATACACTTTCTTATTAAAGTACTTTTTAAAACAAATTTATAATGGAATTAGAACCAAATTATAAGATAAATTTACATAATGGATAATAGTTATGTTTAATTTTGTATATGTGAAATATTAGAAGTATATCTATTAAAACTCTATGTAACATTTTTATCTTAAAAAATCTACCCAAAATTCCCTCTCTTATTACCATCATATTTGTTACAATAATATCTACTTGTCACCTACATGACTCATGGCTATGATGATACGATATTATATGGTTTACATTAGATTAGGAACTTATGTAAAAATAAAAAATAAAAAATAAAAAAACCAATTGGTGGGCTCTACTGCTTAACCATAGTTAATTTATCCCATTGAAATTCTTTTTTAGGTCCCAAAAAGTGTAAGAGAAAAAAAAAAATCAAGGTCCCAAAAGGGAAAAAATATAAAATTTAGTCATTATTTTTTTGGGTAATAAAAAAGAGTTTAGTTCGTATTTGTTAATTTAACTCGCTTTAAAAGTATGTATTGTGCAGATATCAAGTCAAAGAGAAAGTCCCTCAAACAAAAAACTTTGTCGTCGTTCTTCAATTAAAAAGAAAGAAAGAATATGTGACCATCTCAAATATTGTGTTACGTGAGATTGCCAAAATAATATTGAGTTACGTGAGATAATCAATAGTCATACTCAGATTTAAGTTGAATAATCAATCGTCATAAATTTATTGGAAATGTACAGAAATTATATGAGATAATCAATACAGCACTTAAATATGACTACGGATTATAATTTTATGATTAGATAATCAATACGGAGTACTTAAATCAGTCGTCAACTCGTCATACATGTATTACTTAAACACGTACTTGAATTTATTTTGGAACTTGAATATACTACTCCGTATATATATACTGGATTACATAGT